TATTTTTTAAATATTTTATGAGAAATAAGATTCTCACCGAGCTACTAAGTTAAAAAAATTCCCCACAAAAGAGAATAATTCTTGTCCCCACCCCAATAAAAAAGAATATTCCCCTGTACCCTACATTGCCATGTGACAAAGATCAGGAAAAGTTACCATCCTACTTAAAAGGCAAATGCATCCCAATATTTCTCATTCGTCTCTTCACCTTTAGTTTATAAATGTGGACTACTTATCTCTACTTTGTATATGTATATATACAGGTAAATAGGAATTGCTTTAATAATAAATTTTTTTAGATATCTTCCATAAAAAGATTTTAATAAACAAAAATAGATCATACAAATGCTCGTATTCTACTTGAATTTATTATTATGAAATTCACACAAAATAAATTAAAACATTAAAAAATATAAAAACCTCAACCCTTATATAATTTTTAAAAATATTAATCTTCACAACTGACTAAAAAAATTACTTGAGATGATTATACCACACATCATATAAACCTATTGATTACAGCGAAATCACCATTAAAAATCCGAGAAGGATAAAAATCCTTATTGAAAATCTAAATAATAATAATAATAATAATAATAAAACTTGGAGGTAGAAAGACTGCACAAATCCTAAAGCGATGAGGTATAATCAAAAGAGATTCTAAGAATCCTATCAACCAGAGAGAAAAGATGCTCTTTCTTTTTTCTTTTTCTTTTTTTTTTTGAGAGAAGGTGGAGACTACTTCTCTCCCCTTTTAGTTGTTACATTTATTATAAAGTTTTCTTAATTTAATTTTTTTATTTTTTATTTTTTAATTGCATTAAATGTTATATTTCAATTTTATTTTTGTTAAATGCTTTACTAATTTTTTTTTTTACAAAAATAGGGATAAAATAAATAATGATTGTATTTTTCAAGTACTTTATTAAATTTCTTTTTTATTATACCACACAAAAGTGTGAGATAACTAAAACTAAGTAGACATAATATTCTAATAATCCTCCTCCTTGCCGTTGCAGGTTACCAATTATCTTTTTGTTTTTGACTTACAAAAGTAAACAAAAAATAAGGCGGTTGCATTTGCTTTGACTTTATCATTTCATTACTAGAAAACCTTATATCATCGACGTAGAAATTTTTGTCGATTAAGGAGCATTTTACTGGCAAGAAACTTGTCTGCATCTATAAAAACAGTTAAAATAAAGGTAATTTATATTATTAAAGGTTCAGACAAAATTTTTCTCAGTAAATTTATACTAAACACACGTGCTTTTTGTCGATAATATTCAATCTGGTGGCTCTTGGACCTAAACTCCACTTATCAACGAAGATCACGTTGGTAAATGGTAACTTTTGCAACAACATTTTTTTTGGTAAATTTATCAACAAAGAACAAGTCAGTAATTTGAGAATCTTACAACCTAGCCCGTGAATCGAGTTACTGGTGCCAGGGTTTGCAGCTTTTTCTCCATGTATTGACAAGATTCATGTCGGTAAGTTTTTATTGACAACCATAATTTTCTCAGTGATGACCTTGGTCAACCAGCAACCTGAAGTAGTGCAAAGATGATCAACTTTACAACTTTGCAATGAATTAAGTGATTTTGTGGCAATCTAACATTCCACTTGTCACTTCCGTCAATAGAAGGACGAAATTGGTACCAAAAATGGAAGTCTAAGGATACTTTTGGTATTTTTTGAAGTTTAAGGACAATTTTGATACTAAAATGAAGAATTGGGGAACCAAAATGGTACTTTGACCTTCTTAAATTGTATGAAACATAGATGGAGTGACAATCTTAGGGATGAGAGGTTGAGATGGGAGAAGGACCCAACTTATGTCCAATGTTGGATCCCAACTCATATATGGTCTCAATTGCTGACATATTAGGATTATGATGAATATAAGATGCTCAATGAAAGGGGAGCAAAGAATAGGAGTTTTGGGGAGAGGGTGAGTCACACCATTAGGTCCATTGGCTTTGTCATCCATGTGATACGGATGATAATCAAGCATGATTGATAAAAAAAAATTAAATATATTAAATTTTATTCAACAATAAATTATGTCAATCTATACTAACCAATATATTACATTATAAATATTTTGAAATACAGACTGAAACTAGAGGCGGTGTGCAACCTCCTTATCAGGAGAAGTTCAAGGAAACACACGCCTTCAGAAAGAAGGTGGCACAAGATTAGGAGCCGGTGTGGATCAATGAAAAAAGCAAAATATCGATATGTAAGTATATATAATATATAAATTATCATAAAATTTATAGTTATAAGTGTTAGAAAAATTTATTTAATTAATCTAAATTATTTAGCAAAGTCTACCATTTTTTTTAATGATTCTTTTCAAACTGCTTTTAATAACATTATTTTTATTTTTATTTTCAGGATACTTATGTCATGGAGTGCGCAGAGACCCATGGCATTGATACTAGTTCGTGGCCATGCATGGATCATGAGGCATGGGTTAAGGCTATTGGAGGTTGCTTGTCCAGTTTCATACCGAGGATTGGCTCCTAGGTAAATCCAGAGAATGTTGGATTTACTTATAAGAAGAGATAACCCTGAGACAACTTGATGGCAATGCCCATATGACACAAGCCCAGAATAATGTGAGCCAGACAATTGCATAGTCTATTATGACAGCTTTGGCCACTTATGGCATCTCCCCCTAGGTAGGTCATTATCCAATTGCCCCACCATAGCCGCCACATAGTCAAGGCTCAGGTTTCCGCATGAATACAACTTTTGCCTACTCCACTAATTCTACACAAACCTCTCCTATACTCCCTAAATATCAACAATAGCAGCTTCCGCCTCAAGATGATGCATACCATCTTGTTTTGATCCAGACTATCAAACTCATTAGTTTTGTTTTATGCTACTTACACTATCTGTACACTTTGCATGGTTGGTTTTATTTTTGTTAATACTTTAAATTGCTAGCTTTAACTTTTCATTGCGATATCTTTTTCTATTTTGCTTGACCTCCAGGAGCCATACTTCAAAAAGTATGAAGTTTTGGATTGTTTTTTTGGTTAATTATTATGAATTGAATATCGTAGGCATTTAAGACAATGGTGTGTGATTGCTATACTTTGTGATTGTGGTTGTGGTTAAAAAGGTATAATTGCTTTTAGTATGGTAAAGTTGTAGAATATGTGTTAGTATGGTAAAGTTATAGAATATGTGTTTTTCATTGCAAATGCAAGTTCAAAAAAATTGGTTTTGATCATATGTATGAAGAAACTTTGCCATTTGTTTTTAGAATTTTTGCCAACTAAAATGATAGAAATGCAAAAAATTTATTGAATAAATTTGAAATTAAATATCATAAGCATTATGGAGGTTGATGGTTTGTGGTTGATACTTTGCGATTATGGTTGAAGAGATATAATTGCATTTTTTATAACAAAGTTGTAGAATTGCAAATGTAGGTTTTAAAAAAAATAGTTTTTATCATACATATGGGGAAACTCTGTCAAATTTTTTTAAAATTTATGCCCACTAAAATGATTAAAATACAAGAAACCTATTGGATAAATTCAGAAAAATGGCATGAAAATGGATGAAATCTGGAAAGAAAGTTGGAGAGTCTAGGTTTGTTTTACTACCGATGAGTACGAGTTAAATTTACCAATAAGAGGCACGTCGGTATTGTTGAAAATGCAAAAAAAGTTAGTCAACAATGAGCTACCCTTTCATTTCCCAACATGATTTTAGTCGGTAATCTTGGTTGGATTTTTCCTCTTTAGTTTGCCAACATGAAGCTAGTTGGTAATTTGAAAACTCTTGTCAATAAAAAAATGGTGGGATTGCAGAAATTTTTTTTTTTTTTTTGCTCCCTCTTAACCTTAAATTTACCTACGTGGATTTTGTCAGTAAAAATAATTCCAACAAAACACACATAGGTAAAATACTCTATATATTACCACCACTCCCTGACCCACTCATTTCTTCTTTTCTTCCTTCTTCTTTTTTCTTCTTCTCCCTTATCTATCTCTCCTCTTTCTCTTCCATTCAAATGCTGCTAGGGTTTATTATGTTTATAATTACATTATATTCATATTATTTTAGATTTATATCTTCTCAATCTCGTCTCTTTTTCTCTTCCATTCTTTCTCCATAATTGATTAAACACTAATTTGAGTTATTAATCAATTTATTTACTATTCTAATTTTTTTATTTTTTTTTCTAGGAAACATATTGTTGGGAGATAATCATTGGGTAAGTAAATTTTATTTATGTAAATTAAAATTGAATTTCAATTATATTTTGATTATTCTTATTTGGTTGAAATTATATATAAATACTAAATTAATTTATATTTCTTTTTTTTTTTAGGAAATGGTGCTCTATAATTATTCACTCTATAATTGAGGTAATCTTGAATTTTTTGGATTATATTATTCAGTTATATTTTAAATTTGTCATATTATTCTTATTTTTAAATTATGTTTTAATCATTGATTTGAACAAATAAATTCAATAATTTTCTGCTTGTACTATAAAAATTTAATATTATATTTATTTTTTATAATATTAAACATTATGAATTAAACAATATTTAATTGTAAATTAATTGAATTGAATAAAAAATATATATTAATTTCAATATTAATTCAAGGAACTGTGTTTTTTTTTTTTTTAGACCAGATTCTTGCACTAACGTCACCTTTGTTGGTAACTTGAAGTTTAAACTGTGATTTTTTCTAAGATTCCTGCACCAATGTTACCTTCGTCAGTAAATTGAAGTAAAAAAAATCCTGCGCTAACTTGTAGATTCAAATTTTGTCGGTAAGTACCATCATTTTTAGACACTTTTCTCCTCGGTAAATTACCGATGTGGCTTACTTTCAAAGATATCCGGCAGCACTATTCAAGTAGCTATTTGGAGACATGGTTTTCATCGGTACTGTTGCTCAATTTACCGATGTGGTTTACCTGAAAAGAGCTCCAGTGGAATTGTTTTGGCGTTATGTTATAGACATGTTTTTTGTCCGTAATTTGCAATCATCTTATCGATATAATTTTAATTCACATCGGTAAATAAATTATTGAGGCAACTTACACCAACAAATCAATTATTGACATGATTCAGGTAGCAAAGAGGTTTTACCGATGTAATTTCCTTTCTTTCTGACATGTTTTCTCATTGGTGACTCCATGTATTCTAGTAGTGTTTAGACCATGGTTGGCATTATTTTGAGGAATTGCATGTGGAAGTAGCACAAAGGATAATGGAGAATAGTTTAAGTGTTTGTAAATCTCGGTGCTTTTAGATTAGTTAGTGCCTCTTTTACCTTGCTTTATTTCCTTATTTGTTTTTTTGGAAGCCGAGAAAACAAGGAAGTAGAAGTTTCAAATTCAATTTATCTAATTGAATAGAAAATGAATAAACTAAAAGAAGAAAAAAACCAACAATGATTTAAGTAACTTAGTGATTATTTTTTTCTGTTGGAAGTAATGTTTTCAAAACCGAACTGAAAGTCGAATCATTTTGAGCTCTAGTTCAACTGGTTTAACCGATAAAAAATTGGGTTGATTAAATTTTGAAAATATATATTAAATATAATAGGTTAAATACCCTTTTTGGTCCCTCTACTATAGGAAAAAGCCCCTTTTTAGTCCCTATACCGAAAAAATCCCTTTTTTGATCCTTACTGTTCACAAATCCGGTTCCTTTTTGGTCCCTCCGTTAAATTTTGGCTTACGTGGCATGTTAACTAACAGAAAAAATTTTTTTTTTTCTTTACTTAAATTACGTGTGAAATTCATTTGGCAAAACTTGATGACATGGTCAAATTTTTTATTTTTAATTACCAATATACCCTCATTTTCTTCCCCCATCCTCTCCTTCTTTCAGCCTTTTTTTTCTTTTTTTTTTTTCTTTTTTTTTTCTTTTTTTTCTTACCTTCGCGATGAACCCATGAGATTTTTTCTTTTTTATTTCTTACCTTCGCGAGGAACCCACCAGCTGGGTGTGGGTTCGTCGCGAGGAACCCAGCTGGTGGGTTCATCGCGAGGAAGACGAACCCAGCTGGTGGGTTCGTCGCGATGAACCCTGCTCGTGGGTTCGCAACGAACCCAGGAGCGTGGATTCACGATGGCACTTCAAGCGCGGAAAAATGTTAGTTGGTAAGATTGGATTGATTTGGTTAGATGATTCTGTGATCAATTGAGCACCAAGACTTGGGTTAATTAACTGTTTTTAACAGGTTCTTACAAGAAGGAAGTTGAATAGGTTTTGACATTGAGTGCTGGAATTTCAAATCCTCAATTTTCAATTTCCTGAAATTTTTGCTGCTCTTGTGTTTTCTATTGTTGGATGTTTTTAGAGCTGTTTGTTTGAGAAGAACATGCTTTCCTTTTTTTGGCAGGGATTGAGAACCCAGCTCGCGCCTGGGTTCGTGACTTGGCAGAGATTGAGAACCCAGCTTGCGTCTGGGTATGTCGCGAACCCAGGCGCGAGCTGGGTTCATTGCCAACCCAATCACACGAGCTGGGTTCATTGCCAACCCAGTCGCGAACCCAGTCGCACAAGCTGGGTTCATCTTAGGTTCGCGATGAACCCAGGTGCTTGGGTTCATCACAAACCCGAGAGCTGGGTTCGCCTGAAGGTAAAAGGAAAAAAGGACAAAAAAAAAAAAAAAAGCTGGAGGAAGTGGGGTGACGTGGAGGGTGACGTGGAGGGTGACGTGGAGTCCACATAAACATATTTTACGCGTTGGTATACCACGTTAGCTGTTTTCCGTTAGTTAACATGACACGTAAGCCAAAATTTAACGGAGGGACCAAAAAGGGGCCGGATTTGTGAACAGTAAGGATCAAAAAGGGGATTTTTTCGGTATAGGGACTAAAAAGGGGCTTTTTCCTATAGTAGAGGGACCAAAAAGGGTATTTAACCGTTATAATATAATGCAACTTTAATCAATGAATTAGTTGTGGCTCTAGTGGTAAGAATCTTTAATTATAAGGACGACTAGAGTTCAAGTCTTTGGGGTGGAAAATTTATTCAAATCATGTATTTCTGTGATAAATAAATCTTAATGCATAAAAACATAACAGATTTGAATCAGATCAAGCGGCACGAATTTTCTTAAAGCATTTAAGAGAGTCAGTGTTCAAACCTCATGCAAGTTATATTTCCTTTAAAATCTTGTGACATTTTTTCAAAGATATTTTTTTGTAACTTTATTCATAAGAGTCAAGTACTTTTATAAAGATGATTGTTTTTTATTATGTAATTAAAATAAAAAAAATTATTCAAATAACACAGGTTTTTTTTTAACAGCGAAAAATATTACAGATAGTGAACAAAGAGTTGGAAGCTCCGTGTTTATTCTTTCAGATTTAAAGGAAATGATTCAAGATGCTGATTCCCTGTCGCTCGATTATTATCATCATATGCCGTTGAGGTGCTTAATCAAGATAGCTTGAAACTTTTGTCCTTGATTAGAGAAACTGGAAAATTACAACTCCTCATTTGCTTTTTGCCCATTAAAATTTAGGGAAAGGTAAATAACGCACAAAAATTGAAATCCCTGTTCCAACAGCCTTGCAAATCCCTACAAATCCAGGCTACCAGTAACATGATTTTATCTCAATTCCAACAAATTGAACAAGGAACTACAGGTATTTTTCCTCTTTTTTATTTTTTTTTCATTTTTTCTTTCCTTTGTCTTAGTTTTTTTCTTCTTTTTTTTTTTTTTTTTTTTGTTTAATTTGCCTTTAATTCTAAGTTCCCATTTGTTCATGGAGTTTATCAAGCATATTTGTTCTGACATTGTTAGAGAGGATTTGTTAATAATTATTAGTTCATTGGTTCTTATGTTGGGGTTACACTGAAATTGGGTTTTTCCATTTCTGCATTTTTCTCTTTCAAATTGCTGCTTATTTTTGAAGAAGAAGAATGTTTATCAGCTTCTGTAGCATAATTCTGTTGTTAATAATTAGTGATTCTTTTTTTTTTTCCAGCGAGAGATTGAAAGTGGGATTTTTCGCTTTAGGGTTTTTGTGCAAGTGAAATTGCTTTCTTTATGGCTAAAATGGAGAGAGCATATGGTGGCGTGGACAATATTAGCAGATTACCGGATGAGCTTCTTTTGCATATTTTGTCATTGCTTTGTTTTGAAGATGCTGTTCGTACCTCTGTGCTGTCAACAAGATGGAGATATCTCTACGCTTCAATTTCTGATCTTATTCTTCACTTTAGTTCACTAGGTGGTCAGAAGGAGACTGATGTTGAGAATGTTGTTGATAGAGTATTCTTTTACCGTAATAATAGATGCCCTATAAACAGATTTCAGCTCGGATGCTCACAGTCAAATGAGCCTAACCCTTCACACCTTGAAGGGTGGATACGTGCTCTAATGTGGCATGGTGTTTGAGAGCTTGATTTGGGAACTTTTTCTAACCTTCAGCTGCTGGCTAGTTTATTCACCTGTGAGACGTTGATGGTTCTGAAATTGGACATGTTGTTTCCTTCTGGTATAGAAGTCCCTGTCAAAGTTTGTCTCCCAAGCCTTAAGGTTCTTCACCTCGATAATGTAATTTCATTCTGGGATGATGATTCTGCTAACAGGCTGCTTTCTAACTGCCCAGTTCTTGAGCATTTGAAGTACAAGAATGAGAATGAGAAAGAGAACTGCAAAGACATTGTTTCCCATCCTGTACTCAAGAGTCTTGACATAGATTGTATGACCTGTAAGGGATGGTCTGATGATTTGAAGATTCTCATTGATGCCCCAAGTCTTGTCGACTTAAAATACTGTGTTTGTGATGTAAACTGTCATACTTTTGTAAATGTTGAGCACTTACTGAAGCTGATATTTATTGTGTACAAAATGAAGGTGTAGGTTAAGGTGATTATAGGGATTACATCCTTGCTGCAACTGACCTGATGAGAAGGATAACAAACGTCGAAAGGCTTACTATATCTGGTGGAACCCTTGTCATAAGTTTTTTTACCACACCTTATTCCAGATATGAACAATTGCCTCCTTTCTTCATTTAGAGATTTTTTATTTTTCTACAGCCAAATCTACACTGCTAACTACAAATTTCCTTTTGCAGGATCTTGCAAAGTTCAACATTCCGATCCCTGTGTTGCCTAATGTGACACATTTGGAAATTCTCTGGTGCAAATATTTTGGCTTGGCAGAATTACCACACTTACTAGCACGTTGTGAGTCTTTGGAAACTCTTCTTTTCGAGGTATGAGATCAAATCAGTGAAATGATTGTTATGCCAGAGCATTGTAGAAGTTATTTGTAACTTACTCTATGCTTCTCTGATCAGGATCTTCCAGATAAAGAGTGGAATCTTGATGCTTGGTACATCCTTGACGAATTTCGATGCCTAAAGACAATTGAAATTGGGTCATTTAGCGGCACTGATAATCAAATGGAATTGGACAAGTATTTTCTGAAAAGCGCAAAAGTTCTAGGGAGCATGACTATTTGTATTTGGAATGCAGAATATGAAGAACAACTGGAGATAACTAAAGAGTTACTTATGTTACCGAGAGTCTCAAAAACATGCAGTGTTGTTTTTAAATATGAGGGCAAATTGGGGCTGAGATTTTGATAAAGAGGAGTGCTAGCTCTTCTTGTTCTTTTGAATACCATGGCTAATCTTTCAGCTCAAACTCAAATTCATAAGCAAGGACTCCACTTCGGCTGGTCTTACCTTGGTCGTGCTTTTATTGAATATTTCTATATTTATTCTGCATATTTTCCAAGTTTTAGTAGCTTTAAGCTGGTGCTAAGCTAGATTCAATATTCTGTGTAATGGGTACCGTGTATCTTTTATGCTTTGTAAGCAAAGAATAACTTATTATGAGTATTGTTCCTTAGTTCTTAATGCACATTTGAAGTCAACTGCATGTGGACAAACAAGCTCAAGCTCTGGTTGACTCTGTTTATGCACATAAATTTGCATGCATAATTTGCACTAAAAATGTTTTGATATCTAATTTCAACATGATAAATAAGATTAATGTTTTCTAGGGGAGTGGTGTATGCAGCACTCTTATAATTCCTTATTTAAAAATATAAATTGAGTAAAGATTTACTTATACACAAATTTTATATATGATACTTATATAAAATTTCAATAATTTATTTTTTCATTT